TTGTGGACTGCAGAGAAAGAAGAAAGAGATTCATACCTTTTTAGCTTGGTTATGATAAACAGAACTGTTAGTGCTGCAGGCCAGAAATAGTGTATTAGAATTAATTAGTATGTGAAGGAAGAAGTTACAGATTTCCTATAGAGTGTGCTGATCATTAACCAAAGTTTTGCCTTCTTCATTTTTAGGAGCCAGCTCCTTTATATGAGCTTTCAATGCTTGCTTTAGAGGATCCTGAAAGTGGCTGGACAGAAGAAGATGGCCCAAAAGAAGGGCTTGCTGAATACATTGTAGAGTTTTTGAAAAAGAAGACTGAAATGTTGAAAGATTATTTCTCTCTTGAAATTGATGAGGTGACTGCAGCTATTACTTCTGACAGTAGATGAATGGTGGACTTGGCAATGTTAGGTTTATGGTTAGATTAGATCTTAAAGGTCTTTTCTAATCTAAATGATTCCGTAATTGTATATTTTGGTGACAGATAACTGCAGCAGCTTGCTTGCAGTGCTTACTATCACTAAGAACTAGTTCCAATAAGATTTTAGGTAGCATAACCCTTTAATTTAAAACTCTCAGGACTTAGGCTGCCTTTAAGAAGGGTGCTACAGTCACAGGATGGGTTGGTTTGGCAGGGACTACAGTGGGTCATCTGTTCCAACCTCCTTGCTCAGGCAGGGTTGTCCTGGAGCACGTAGCATGGGATCATGTCCAGATAGTTCTTGAATATATCCAGTGAGGGAGATATTCAAGAACCCCCTGCCTCTCTGGGCAATCCATAATTAAGTCATTGCTTCTATAACTAGAATGCAGATCTCTTAACCAGCAAGGTGTGCATCTTAACCAAGTCTTAAGTCAGACAGGGCTGCAGCACCACTGTGGCTCTCAGTGTGTCTTACTTTGCGTGGCTTAAGGCATCCCTTACTTTCTTTATACAAAAGTGAACAGCTTCATCAGGCTCAGGCACTTCATTTGGATGTTTGCCTGGGAAGTGGTATCTATGTAACCTGGAGCTAGAGGAGAAGGTTGAATTCAGCCACTCCCTGAGCTGAGTGGCTTAATACACACCTTGTGAAAGTAAACACCACCAATAAATCTCTTCGTGCAATGTCTGTCTGGCATTGGGCTTTAAAAACTTGTAAGGCTCACTGAGTTTGGTAAGAATCAGTCTTAAAATATGTAAGAGTTTTTGGTGCATTTGGTGCATTTACTGCAAGAAAGAACTTTTTTTTACTGAAGCAGCAGTGTTGCCTTGCAGGAAGGAAATCTTACTGGGTTACCACTTCTGATAGACAACTATGTCCCACCATTGGAAGGACTGCCTATGTTTATCCTGCGCTTGGCCACAGAGGTATAGTCTCTCAAATTTATTTTGTATTGATGCATAATTACTTTTTTTACTTTAAGTAATTCCAGTCTGCCTTTGCAGTCTCTGGTGCAGCTTAAATGTGCTGTTATGTGTTCCAGATGCTGTTCTGTGATTACTGATTAGTTATGCTTTGGTTTTGTATTCATAACTACTGACTGCCTGAGCATCTATTTTGACTTAAAAGCCTGCATTCCTACCCTGTTTTTCATTCTATACCTTTACTTTACCAGGACAAAAATGGCCAATACATTAATATAAATTTTCCATATTAAGAATATCTATGGAGTCTCTCTGCTACCCAGATTCTATAAAATTACTTTTTTTTTTTTTTTCAAACAGGTAAACTGGGATGAAGAAAAGGAGTGTTTTGAAAGCTTGAGTAAAGAACTAGCCATGTTCTACTCCATCAGAAAGCAGTATATAATAGAGGAATCTAACCCAACAAACTCTCAGGTATGAGAATACTGTAACTAGTCCTGTGACCAGATGACTAACAACATACAGGAAACTTCTGCTCTTTCAGATACGGACTTCTAATCCCAGCTCTTTCAGTGAACTGAATCAATTAGCAATGTGGCAAGATTCTGAAAGTGTGTGGCTTAAATTTTCTGAACTATTATAGGTATTGAGGGAACCTTTTAACTTTGAGCATTGCAGTGTACTTAATATTATTACAAGCCTTCTTGGCCTCTGAGTTAGGAATGTATTTTTTATGCTATATTTTTATAGAAGAATAAGGATGCATATAAATTAAAAGTACAACCTGATTGTGTCTAAATATCTGCCTAATTGATCAGCTAAGCTCACCCATTCTGCAAGTGACTTTACAGAGCTTAGAACTGACTGTATAGAATGAACTTTTCTAATACCAGCAGAATTTTACAATTGCTGTAGTCTTACATAGTAAAGTTTTTAAGGCAT